CCTCTCATCAAACAGCACCTTGTGACAAGAGAATCCCTGGATAAGACAATCTCGAAGTCGAATCACTCACTCGAATAGAACATGACTCACATACCCCCGCTATCCTCAAATACATGTAGTAAACTTACGATCGCACTTGGAGTTGAGATACCCTATCTTCTTATTAATAATCGCGGATGAAAGTTCAACGGGATTCTCATGACACGACTCTACACAAACAGATACAGTAAACTCTCGATCGCACTTGGTGTTGCTATACCGATCTTCCTACCAATAATAGATGTGAGGGGGAATGAGATTGAGCGTGTCATGCCCGAAAAACCACATTCCTTAGTCGCGTATAACATAGCTAGGGTCGACGCCGAATGCCCTCCCCCATCCATCCCTAACTCATACATCAATCATGACGACTAGGTGCCCTACTCTCGAGACCATTCATTCAGATCGAAAGAAGACCATAGAAGACGAGGAAGAAGAAGAAGAAGAAGAAGAAGACGAAGGAGAGGAGAAGAAGAGGAAGAAGAAGACGACGATGAAGAAGAAGCAATGAACATGAAGAAAATGAACACGAATCTAATATTACAACGAATGTAGGGAGCAAGCTCACTTAAGCACAATATACTCCGTATGCCATCGTCTTCACCGACCAACTATTACGAAGTCACAGAATCATTCGCAATAATGAGTACATTCACAAGCGCACGCCCCGTCCCCTTGCTATCCACTACTTCCTTGATTCTTAGCAGAAAATCATCTCTCGCGTCAGAGTTCGAGAAGAGCTAAGATATAACCAACCGATGTTTCATAAACAAATTCAAGAACTCCTATCCTAAATTGCACTAGAATCCGTGTCCACGCGATGCAGACCCTCTGGTCACTAGGCACAGTCTGAACCCCATTGTCACCATATAATCCCATGGCCGCCACGTCATCGCTGCTTGAGATAGGAGATCGTTTCAGCATACAACATAGCCTGATCACACAACAATCACAAAAAACGCATCCCCCAATCCCCACGATTAATCCCGGATGCTACATTTAAAACATGAAGCAGCCCAAATAATCATCCAACATGCGTCAGGTGACAAGTGATAAGTGATCGCAAGATTCAGAGCAATCTTATCACCGCTAAAGACTACTAGTGGTTCTCATTCATCCAATTTGCACTCACCGTTGTACCACACGGAGGGTAGGTGAGAGAGAGTATAGTCAGATCCGGCTAGGGTGGTGGCAATCATCCTTGAACATGTTTTTCGCTAATCTTGCCACAGATTAGCTCGTCAGAGGTGCCCGAGATTGGACAGCACAGGAAGTGACTAACCTTTATCAAAAGAGATGTAGGAGAACCATTCCTAGGATAGATCGAGACTGGATGGAGGTGAGAGGGAGAGGAGGGACCAGGAAGGGGAGAGAGAGATAAGAGGATAGAGGCAAGCGAAGAAGAAGAAGAAGAAGAAGAAGATGACGACGACGGAGAGGTTGAGAAGGAGGGAGGAGGTGGAGGTGGAAGGTTCAAGTTGCTGGGGCGATCGCATCACCTCCGGTTTGGATGCATGGTCGGCGCCACCATCCTCCGAAAGATGCAAATGAAGCATCTCTTCAAAATTGAGCGCTGCGTCCATGATGAGGTCACAAGACCCTTCTTGGTCCAAGTGTTATCGTGAGCACAGGGGTAAGATGAACGGAAGCCCCCACAGGAATCAAGGATTATGTGATCGCGATCGTTGTGGAAAGAGCTATGGAAACTCTCGGGAACGACGCAAAGAGGGAGGCGGACAATTCACAAGCAATAGTGGCCGAAACGGCAAGTAGTGCGTGCTTCGTATGTGTCATAGCGGTACAGACTGACCGTACATGTACCGGTAGTATCGAGCGCGACTATACCGACGAGCATCCGAAAGTCGAGACACGCGCTGGTATAGGCGCGATCAGCACCACCGAGAAAGAGGATTAGTGCTGAACTAAGCCTACTCTTTAATAGTACTTTCCTAATGGATTCTGTAGTAGGATTGTGTGGTCCGGGTTTTCCTACCAGAAATATCAGCGTCGATTGAGGGCCAGAAAGATATAGGAAGGGCCTACTCATGATTATAGGCCAAAGGTTAATGAAATTATTACTCGTGCAGGGAGTAGGGTTGAGGTGATCAGACAGACTGGGTGTTTTTTTTTACCTTTCCAATTTTAACTTTTTACTTTTTTATACTTTCTCATTTTTAATTCTAATAATTGTCTCAGACATGCTTGTAACCCTGGGGTCTGGTCCGACCTACGGTTGTTGAGTTTAGAAAACTCAACGGTGTGACGCCCTGTCGACATTAATAAATTCGAAACAACAAATAAAAAAACTGAAAAAAACTCTAGAAACAGCTTTTCTCCTTATTTTTTGTAACATAAATGGGAGAAATGAAACATGTCGGAGTGAACATCTCCGTGAAAAAAGGATACTCCCCGTGGTGAGGGGATAGGAGGTCACCATTTGTAAAATGGACAGGGGCGACGTGGATGGCCAAATACATTCATTGCCCAAAGAAGGAAACSAGTTTGATGCCAGACAGCCAAACACAGCTGTCAGAGTTCCTCCGTTTCAGGATGCAATGAGGACTAAAAAAACAAAAAAAAGGAAAGGCACTGAAGTTGAGAAATGTACCCTACCCTCGGTAGGGTAGTTTTCTCAACGGAAAATGGCTTCCCGCCCAAACCAAAAGGGCCAAYGCATACTACAAAACGGATTTCACGTCAAAAAAAAATTCTACAAAATGACTAAATCTAATAGGTTATTCTCCTGTATTTTGGTACTGTTAGATTCGCAATACATCAACGGCAGAGCTCCGTCCCACCATGCCACACGTGATAGAAAGCTCCGCGTTGAGAAAACTCAACGCTGTAGGTGGGACTAGACCCGTGGTGAAGGGTTCGAAACTCATCGTTATTACCAGAGTTCCTTTCCGAAAACTATATATATACGGGGATGGGGGGAGCTCGCGCTCAACTTCATCAACGTGGTGAGCCTTGCACGTGAGAGGCACAGTGGAAGTGGAGTTCAAAGAAGAATGAGAAATTTAATGGTTTCAATCTGCCCTTGTTTTTTCTTTTTCTTTTTATTTTTGCATGTCATCACTGTGCCCGTTTTTTGCTTTTATTCTTTGTTCCGCAAAGTGCGCTCTTTTAGTTTGTAGTGATGTGACAATATATATATGTATATATATCAGGGTCCTGATTCCATTATCAAAGGCCAAAGAAGACTGTGTGTGTGTGTGTGTGTGTGTGTGTGTGTGTGTGTGTGTGTGTGTGTGTGAGAGAGAGAGAGAGAGAGAGAGAGGGGCGAAGGAAGGGTCCTGGGGGGTTGAAGGCACAAAGAGATTCCATTTTCCGTTCTTTCTTTTTCCCTTTCATTATGTGGGACTAGACCCCTGGTGGGACTAGACAGACCCCTGGTGAAGGGTTCGAAACTCATCGTTATTACCAGAGTTCCTTTCCGAAAACTATATATATACATATTTATATAAATATATATGTATATATATTGGGGTCCTGATTCCATTATCAAAGGCCAAAGAAGACTCTGTGTGTGTGTGTGTGTGTGTGTGTGTGAGAGAGAGAGAGAGAGAGAGAGAGAGAGAGAGAGAGAGAGGGGCGAAGGAAGGGTCCTGGGGGGTTGAAGGCACAAAGAGATTCCATTTTCTGTGCGAGTGTGTGAGTGTGTGTGGGTGTGGGTGTGTGTGTGTGTGTGTGTGAGAGAGAGAGAGAGAGAGAGAGAGAGAGAGAGAGAGAGAGAGAGAGAGAGAGAGAGAGAGAGATGGGGGATGGGTAAGGGGAGGTCAGCGGAGGGGGGAGCAAAGTTTTTCTATGTTTTCTTTCTTTTTTTACCGTTTCTGTTGTGTGTGTGTGTGTGTGTGTGTGTGTGTGTGTGTGTGTGTGAGAGAGAGAGAGAGAGAGAGAGAGAGAGAGTCTGCCTCCACCGTTACTGCATCACCGGTCGTATTTGTTTTTGCGAGCGAAGCCACAACAGGTCATCTAGTCATTATTGTATCCATCTAAGCGGGTCAGGCTTCAAATTCATTATCTGTTCATCAATTGTTACGTGTGTGCCATTTCTGCCCATGAGCTTGGGTATTCCTCTCTAATCTTATGGATTTGCATACAGGCACTTGAATGCAGGCATCTCTGCCATCCCACTCGATGGACTGCTGGATTGGGGATTTGTCAGTTCAGTTGTTGATGCAGGCCGTAAGGAACTCATATGCAGAGGTTGTTGTGAACCATTGGTTCTCCAGGCAGCATGGGGGTTGTGGGAGCTAGAACATCCTCTGGATCAGACAGTGGCGGGAGATTCAATAATTGGAGTTACATTTTGCACACCGCTTGCATGTTGAGCCACCAGTACCTGTGGCTGCTTCCCCCCGAGCCTAGCCCACGACCATTCGAAACCCACCTGGCAGCAATGTGAGACCAATGGCAGAGCACATCATTTCTAGAACAGGCCTGCACCAGTCTCAACCAGACATTTGTCAGGCCTCTTCTGATGGTGTCTATGGTCTCCTTAAAGTTCAGCAAGTAATTTGGAGGCCACGAGAGTACTGGCGGTTATACACGCAGTGATCTTCCTAGTGAGGTTTCTGTGACTTAGCTGTGCTGATAACATCTTCTCACACTGGCCCTATGCAACATGTTTCCTAGCACTGGACGAGGCCACAAGGCAGCAGATTGTACAGTTGGGTTATACCCAGCATGCCATTTGCATGTTAACATATTGATTGTGGTCTTTTTAAATATAGTCTCGGAGGATCCTACAGAGACATATGTTGGGTTCTTGCGGGTTATCCTTTGCATATATTTGTTGAATTGAATACAATCAATTCTTTGAATAGGTTAGGACTTTTCCACATATTGTGGAATAACAAGGGTAGGGATTACTCGTCTGTCACAGCAATGAGTTTCCTTGCAATTTGTTTTTGTGTGGCTTAGCCTACTGATCACATTTTCACACTGTGCCTATGCAGCGTCAGAACTTCCGAGTGGATGAACTTGGAATAAGGAAACAACTGGACATGATCGCGCGGATACTCAAGGCTGCAGACCCGGCATTTTTCGAGTATCTTTGTAAGGATAAGCTGTGGTCCCTCTCCCCATTCGCCGCTCTTCCTGATTAGGAGAGACTCCTATTCCCCTCTTCACTTTTTCTTTGAAGATGAGAGATGGGACCTGGATTTGCGTCTCTTCACCATGTGACAGTAAACCTGGCTGCTGCTTCACTTTTTTTTTTAAGTTGAGAGATGGGACGTAGATTTGGGTCTCTTCACCATGTCTTGCATGCTGCACCTGCACATGGTCCCCATTTTGGGGGCCTGACGGTTGCTGAGGGCCCCTAGGCCACGTGCCCTTTACAGGCACGCGACCTGGAGGCCCACATCTGTTTTACAGGCCGCAGGGTCAGATTTGAGGCAGCATTTATTTATTCATTTATTTATTTGCTGACTCGTTGTCTGTTCCATGTGTTCATCCACCTCATCCTTACAACATATGTCCGTTTTGTCGTGAAGGATAGACTCATTCTTGAGCCTTTTCTTATCCTCTTTTGCGCTCATCTTCACTCCACACTCCATACTCTCCCTTACTTTCCCTTTATCATTCTTTGTGTTTTCTCTCCATCTCTCTTCCCTGTGTTTATCCCTTCCCCCATCACTCTGCCTCTTTCTCAGTGTACAACTGGGCAGTAATGGGGGCAGCTCGCGCTCAACTTCATCACGGTGGCGAGCCTTGTACGTGAGAGGCACAGTGTAGGGGGAGTTAAAAGAAAAATGAGAAATTGAATGGTTCCAATGTGCCCTTCTTTTTTGTATTTTTATCCTTTCTTTCACAAAGTGGTCTTTTAGCTCATACCTATGTGGTAATATATATACGAATCCAGTAGCTAAAAAGAATGTAGAGCCATATATCCAGCAGACGCTTTGCGTTTGATCTGATGTTAGAGTTGACGATATATATATATATATATATATAACTCCGACGAAACAGTTTGTCACAGCCCCTTGTTTGTTGTCCTCTTCTCCCTCTCTGCCTACGGTTTACCGGGCAGTTCTATTTGACGATATATATATATATATATGAAATCAGTCTTGCAAATTCACACTCAAACATGCATGCAACAGATGAGAATAACTTGGCGCTGTGCACCCAACTCAAACTCGGAGATATGGTAGCTTGCAACTCAACTCAA